GCGGGGGGGTCTATCTATGGGGCAGTCATTGGAGATGGGGGGGCTGTTCCCGGGGCCCGGGACGGAGCCGTGCCCCGCACTGTGGGCAAGGGGCGGGTCTGGATCCGAGGGTCACGCCCTGGCCCGAGGCGACAGGGGAGCTCGGCGGGTCCATCCCCCCGGGCCTGGGGGGGGGGGTCTGTGCCCAGGGAGCGCGGCCCGCCCACCACGTGGGTCGTGCCCGGGGCCTAGGAGAGGGGCGGGAACTAACCGCTCCCAGCAACTCCCCCCCCGGAACCTACGCAGTCCCTAGGCCAGCGCGTCAGCGTCACGTGCGCAGGTCGCCGGGGGATGTCGTCAGTCAGCGGCCCCCTCGGGCTCGGCGGCATGACGTCCCCGTCTCGCGAGAGCTCGGCCCCACAAACCGCCCCGTGAGCCTTTGCGGCCCCTCTTTGCAGCCGGCGCCGCTCGGGATGGGTGAGTGGGGCCGCGGCTCCGGGCCTGCCGCCATCCGTCGCCATCCGCCCGCAGGGCCGGCGGGGCGGGACCCGGCGCGGCGCGGGGGCGCTGCGGGGCCGGCGGGGTTCGCGCTGGCGGGCGGCCGCTGCCGCTGCGGGGCGGGAGGAGGGGGGAGGCCGGGGTCCAGCGCCGCGGGGGTGGGGGCTGGGGCGGGCCCGCTGCCTCCTCCTGGGGGTAGGGTGGCTGCAGCCCCAGAGCTCCCCCCGCCTACCCCCGGCTGGGGGGCCCTGCACGGGCCTGAGGCCTCAGCGCCGCCTGACTCGCCCTGCACCCAGGTGGGTGTGAGCGCGGGCTGGGGTGCGGGGCTCGTGATCGCAAAGGCCCCAGGCTGGGACAGTTTCCTTTAGTGCCATGTGCTGGCTTTGCTGAACGCTTCGGGCGGGGGGCTCTGGAGTATCTGTGATGAAGCTTCTCTAATTGCTGCATTAGTCCGAATGCACCATGTGGAAATCAACCTTGGAGAGCTGAGTACTCCCAGCCTTGCTGTCGTACAATCGGGTGGGCTCGTCCGCCTCTCTGACCTGCTGCTTTTTGGTTTAACCCAGGTATCTCTAGGGACAACTGGCACAAGCGTCGCAAGACTGGGGGCAAAAGGAAGCCCTACCATAAGAAGAGGAAGTATGAGTTGGGGCGACCTCCCGCCAACACCAAGGTGGGGGATTTGGCCATTGGGGATAACGGGATGTTGCTGCCCTGGCCAGCTTAGAAAACACTGTGTTAGTTTCTGGCTTCATGCTGCAGTGATAAGGGCTTGTGAAAATGCCCTGCTTTATCAATCAGTACTCTTAATTTCTTCCTGTGCTCCTCTGAGCAGTGGCACTTCCCCCCCGCCTGTGGGATTTCAGCATTACATTAGTTCAGAGTGTTACTGGGTTAGACGGCAATTGGAGTGATGAGAACTTCGCCTTAGGTGGGTACTATGGACCGTTTCGGTCGCAATTACTGCACCTGCCAATGCTAGGATCTGTCATAGTTACACTGACCATATTGCCTTTCAACCTGAAACTCACCGTCTGCTCTCCCCTGAGGATGTTGTTTTGTTAGCAGCTCTGGTTTTGTTGCTGTTACAGATTGGCCCACGCCGAATTCACACAGTGAGGGTTCGTGGTGGTAACAAGAAATATCGTGCTCTGCGCTTGGATGTGGGCAACTTCTCTTGGGGCTCTGAATGTAAGTAGAAAGATGAGAATGCGGGCCTTTTGCATCTGGAAAGCGACCGTGTCTTTTTCTCGCTGTGTCAGCCGTCCATGCTACTGCTGGACTGGAGGAATGATGCAAGCAAACAGCTTGGATGCTGATCTTCAGCAATGTAGTTGTCTGTACAGTGTTTGGTTCTGGAGCAGTGTGAATAATGATGATAACTTTGACCTTAGGTGGACTTATTAGAAGTCTTGGAGGCTTCTGTAAAGCTCACAGTGATAGGAATGTCATAGTTACACTGAGTACATTGCTCACAGAAGCTCTTATCTCAGGAGGGGAGCAGCTCTCATGGAGTTTTCACATTAAAAACAATGTTGATTGTCAAATCATTGGTGTAGATTTACAGCTTTCAGCAGAATGTGCTCCCTGTCCCCAAGTGTTTGTTATCTAAATAAAGCAAGATAAAACAGTAAAGCAGAGCGTGAGGGTCCTTGACAAGAACAGTTTGCTGGAACAGGTGGATTGGAAGGCGAATACCCTGCAACAGGGTTGGAGGGTGGGGAAGAGGTTTTAAAAAGGAGTCAGGCATTAAGGTGAGAGGAGGGGGATCTGTAACCCTTCTACTGCAGTCATCAATGCTCCTGGAGGCAGAGTGTCTTTTGCTTGTGCCATGCTGAGACCAGTGGACTCCAATCTTGGCTGTCTTTTTGGATGCTTCTGTAATACAAATAATAAATAGTAAATCTGGTGCAGGTTAATGATGACTGAAAGGTGGCTTGTCTGACATGAGGTAGAGGGGAAATGGTCTCTTCTAGTGGAGAAGTATCCGTACTGTGAAAATCACCAGCCCTTGTTAGCAATCTCAGCAGGGAGGCCAAACATTGAATGGGCCATGAAGACTGCGCCTTCCCCCTAACCAACAGGCATGAGCCAGCACTGCTGAGCAGTGTGGGGAAAGCCAGCATTGCTGCTGTGCTTGTCCTGTGGACAAATTAAAGACTTGAGTCCCCAGGGAAGGCAACTGCTAACCTTACTAAAGCAAAACGACTACCATAAAGTGGTGTTTTACCCCACTGTGGAGTGATCTGTGGTCTCTAGAGGCCTGTGGAGGGTGGGAAACCCAGCTTGATCCTGCAAACCGTGTGTAGTGCTTGCTGCAGGGGGAGTCCCATTCACTTCCATGGGGTTGATTGGGAAGGTTTCACCAGATTGGGCCTTGACTCTCTGCATTTGCCTTTTATGCAACTTGTGTGGTAATAACTTTCGGATGAGAAGTCTGATTTCCACAGATGAGACCTGGGGAGGAGGAGGATAAACTCCAGCATGGCCCTGTGCATCTCGTGTTTTATTTAGAGCGTGTGTAGCCCTCCATTTGCAGGTCTCTTTCCTGAGCCCATATAGGCTGCCCTGGGAGAGGGAAGGATACTGAAAGGACTCGCCAAGTAGTTGGAGGATAAACTTCTGAAGATCTGTGGCTCCCAGTGTGGGTTGAGCACTAAGATGCTGTATTGTCCGTTTGCGTGTTTATGATGCATCCATTGTAAAAGCTTGTCTGGCTTGTGTGGGGTTTAATTAGTTCCCTTGTTTTCCAAGGCTGCACCCGCAAGACCAGAATCATTGATGTGGTCTACAATGCTTCCAACAATGAGCTGGTGCGGACAAAGACCCTGGTGAAGAACTGCATCGTTCTCATTGACAGTACCCCGTACCGACAGTGGTATGAAGCCCACTATGCCTTGCCCCTCGGACGCAAGAAGGGCGCTAAACTGGTATGTGCTGGGCTGGGCAATCTGTTCTTGATGCTGTGTGAATCATGCCAGTCTGCCTTGCTGGGCAGAGTCTGTACTGCTGTCCGTTCTGCTTCTTAGCAATTTTAAACAAAGTATCTCAGAATTGCATTCCGGACCAATTCTAGCCATTTGAGATGTTCTCATTTGGAGTCACATGGCCGTTCCAAAGGGAATGCTGGTTCCTTAAAACCGTTGCTCCACAGAGCCATCCCCATGGCTTTTGCACCTGGCAGTGTTAGATTAGTGGAGGGATCTGCCCCTGAGCGCTTCCTTGGTCTTCTGATGATGATAACTTTGTCCAGTTCTGCTACTGAATGGAGAGCAATGACAACCTGTGACGCTGAAGAAGACTTTGCAGGGGGAGGTTGGGCCCTCACTGTAGGGAGAAAGCTTCTGCTTCTAGAACAGATTCCTGCATGTTAGTCCGTTACATAGGAATTTGGGTCCTGCCTGCAATGGTTTTGGGGGGTGGGGGCATAGTTAGGACTGTTCAGTTTATTGTTGGATAGTGGGTGAAGGTTGACCTGTTCTCATTGTCTGATTGTTTGGAGACACATTCAGATCATTACTCCAGACTGTGTGGTTGCGGGAAGGGAGATTAAGTTGATTTTTGGGGAGGAGGGTAGTTCAGACTTCCAAGAGGACAAACCGTAGAAAGAGTTTGTAGTGCATATCCCTTCCAGAGCCTGATCCCTGGCCCTGTGAACTAACCGCAAAGGCTGGTTGGAGTTAAGGATTTTGGCTAGCAGAGGTTGCCTATTCTATGTGAGTGGACAATGACTAATAGCAGTCATTGCTGGAAGATGGGGGACAATTGCTTTCACTCATTCACTGTTAGTCGCCACCTCTCCTACCCTGTGTTCTCCATACGTGATCAGGCATGTTTTGGGCTAGGACTGTAACCAGGGTTATTGCACTGTAGTGTTCTCCAAAATGGTACTGGAAATACAAAGGGTTTATGTCTGACATGACAATTGAGTCCTATGCTCTAAAATCTTGCCTGTTCCTGCATAAACCATTTCTGCTCCTTTCCAGACTTGGAAGGAACATAGAGATGATGCCGTGGACCAGAAAAGGGGAATGCAGTGGGAGGCTTCAAAAGGTGGACAGCTATACGTTAAATGCAGCCTGTTCTCAGTCCTTTCTCTGGCTTTGTTTCAGACTCCTGAAGAGGAGGAAATCTTAAACAAAAAGCGTTCAAAGAAGATCCAGAAGAAATATGACGAGCGGAAGAAGAACGCCAAGATCAGCAGCCTCCTGGAGGAGCAGTTCCAGCAGGGAAAGCTGCTTGGTGAGTCCCCAGGGGAGGGAGAACTCAGTGGACGATACAGGCACAAAGAGACGGTGCCAGAGCAGAAGCGATTCTTATTCGTGTTTCTGAAATCCTGTCTGGATTAGCCAGCCTGATACAGCCACGCAGAGGTGCAGGTTGAAAGTGATGGGGGAGTTCATCTGTTGTAAGGCTTGGCAGGACTCGATTTTTATAATTTTGACAGTTATCTGTGTTTTTAAGTATTTATTTTTATCTATTTTAAATTTTTCACAGTTGCAGGCAATTATGGGGGTGTTAGCCAGTAGTAATTATTTAATGACCGTAGATGTTGAGATTCATTAAAACACAAATTATGAGCATCACATGTCAAACTCTACCAAGTAAATATCTTTAAATCAAACTGTTAAGTTCTAAAATAGCGTTAGCTGGAAATGTCTGTTTCATCAGCTTGTGCTTGTATGGTGAAATAGACATCTACCAATATTTAAAAAAAAACAAAAAAAACCGAATCCTTCCACGCCTAGTTGTAAAATGTTTTTACTGGATATTAGCCACAGCTTTCCTTTCATGTGTCTGGATTCTGGAAGGTCCAGCAGTTTTGGCCCTGGTGGAAAGGAAAAATTTCCCACTCACAGCTGGCATGTTTGTTCAGCTCCTGGAATTGCTCAGCCCTGGCTAGTGGTCATTCTCTATAGGCCTTTCTCTGGTAAGACTTGCCAGTGTTGTGAAAAGCCTACGGCCAGGTCTGTACTAACTACGTCGCTCAGGGGTGTGACAAATCCACTCTCCTGAACAACGTAGTTATACCAACCTAACCCCTGGGGTAGACAGTGCCAGGTCAGTGGGAGACGCTCTCCTTTGGCTTAGTAGTGTCTTCAGTACGGTGCTGAAGACAAGCCCGAAGGCTGCTTGTGCATCCCCTGCAGTGAGCAGCTTTCTTAGGTGAAAGGTGTTACTTGTTAAGCCCATCTGCCGTTGTGCATGGGCGGCCTGGTATTCTGAAGTCTTCTGGTGATGAGAACACTGTCCAGTTCTGCTACTGAATTTAAATGATGACAATTGGAAATCTGAAGAGGACTTCACTAGTGCAGATCTTCCCCTCACACTTGCATAGCCCCACAGCTGTGCCTGAGTGGGATCCTTTCAGGGAGATGCTCACTAACACATTGATTTATTTGAAGAGGCCAAGAAAGATTGACCATAGAGGGCAAGAAAGAGTCCAGCTTGTTTGGGTGGACACTGATGTGAGAGTCCGTAGCAGTGTCGCTCCCATTTCTTTTTCCCTGACCTAATGGCTGACTTCTCATTGCAGCTTGCATCGCCTCCAGACCTGGACAGTGTGGCCGAGCAGACGGCTATATTCTGGAAGGCAAGGAACTAGAATTCTACCTGAGGAAGATCAAGGCCAGGAAAGGCAAATGAATGTACGATATGCAACTAAAAGACCGAATAAAAACCCCCGAGTCTTGTTATAAAAGGGTAGTGTGCTTATTTGTGTGTGGAGTAAGGCAGGGCTTGGGAAGCTCCTTTCTCCTGCAGAGACTTGAAAGCAAAGAGGCTATAATCAGGACTTGCTGCTCGCTCCATGCTTTCAGCCCTAGGAAAGCGCTGAACCTGCACGCCCCAGTGCTAAGATAGGACCTAGCAGGAAATGTGTAGGAGTGACTTAATGGGGCAAACACAAGTGTGGAGAAAGGGGGGTTGTTAGTGGCTTGGTTGTGCAGCAGCTCGTAGTCTGCACCATTGATGTGTGCCATTGGTGCAGTTCTAGATCTAGAACTTCCATTGCCGATGTAAAGGGGTGTTTGCTGTAAATGGGGATTCCTAGACTGGAGGAGACCTGTGGTCTATCTAGTCTGTTCTGTCTCCTGTACTTGATTCATTACAGGAGATGTTAATAACCTGTAGCTGCTAACCCAATACGGCACCAATGGGGTCTTTTTACTGGGTGCTGGGAAAATCTCGATTTGGAAACATTGCCCATTTTGGACACTGGTTCTGATCTGTACATTGATTTACATTTTGTACAGAGAGCTTTGGCTAATAGGGTTTACTTAAGAGAGACCGGCTGACTTGTTTTCCTTTCAGACGTCCGTTTGTGGAACAGCGTAGACACTGCAACATGAGAACTGATAGCCAGGCTATCTTTTTTTCCTCTACCCCCATCACTGTGTTATCTGGACACTGTAACTTCTATTGTAGCAGGTACTGTGTGCTATTAACTCACAAATGTAACTTTTAAAATCTTACTACGCTATTTCAGTCAATATTCTGCAGCTGAGTGCTCTGGAGTGCTCCTCCAAACGCCACACACCCAGTACTTATTTTGAACTAGTTGGACATTTAACCCACATTTACGGTTTCCTGCTTGATTGAGAAGTTACTCTACAATTTCAGTTGTTTCTGTTTCAAGTTAGCCATTGGTTAGAACTGGTGCTGCACTGCCAAGTGGCTGGTTGGTCTTCTCCTTGACCTCCTGAGTCTCATTGCAGTGCAAGATGAACTCCCTTCTAGCAGAAGGGCCAGGCTATTTCAGTGGTCTGTCTCTTTCGATGGTTGGGTACAAACTTCCCTTTCTCTTCACCTACCATCCAGTGGAGAGGAGGTTGCTGTCGATTGTGCCTCTGAGGTGCCAGACCCTGGACATGGGTGAACAAAATTATTTTCCAACGTACAAATGGCTGTACTGGGTCAGGCCAATGGTCCATCTAGCCCAGTAGCCTGTCTTCTGACAGTGGCTGATGCCAGATGATTCAGAGGGAATGAACAGAACAGGGCAATTTCAAGTGACCATCCCCCTGTCATCCAATCCCATTTCAGGCAGTTGGAGGCTTAGGGATACCTGGAAACTTAGGGACACCCAGAGCATGGGGTGGCATCCCTGACCTCATGGCTAGTAGCCATTGAGGGACCTATCTGTGACCTTACCTAATTCTTTTTTAAATCTGGTTATACTTTTAGCCTTCACAACATCCCCAGGCAATGACTTCCACAAGCTTGACTGTGTTGTGTGAAGAAGTACTTCTTTATGTGTGTGCTGCCTATTCATTTCATTGGTGACCCTTGGTTCTTATGTTATGTGAAGGGGTAAATAACACATGGCGTAGAGAAAGTGATTTTATAGACCTCTATCGTATCCTTCCTTAGCTGTCTCTTTTCTAAACTTAACAGGTCCAGCCTTTAATCTCTCCTTGTATGGAAACTGTTCCTACCCCAGGCACTTGCGTTGCCCTTCTCTACCTGTTTCAGTTCTAATATATCTTTTCGGATATCGGTTATCAGAACTGCACAAAGTATCCAAGGCTTGGGCGTACCATGGATTTATATAATGGGATTACAATATTTTCCTTTCCTAGTGGTTCCTAACATAGTTAGATTTTTTCACTGCCGCTGCACATTGAGTGGATGTTTTCAGAGACTTATACAATATGACTTGTCGATATCCACACATGATCTCTTTCTTGAGTGGAAATAGCTAATTTAGGCCACATCGTTTTGATGTATACTTGGGATATTTTCCAATGTGCATTACTTTGCACTTACCACATTGAATTCCATCTGTCATTTTGTTATCTAGTCTGAGTTTAGTGAGACTGCTTTGTAATTCTTTGCAGTCAGCTTTCGACGTAACCGTCTTGAGTAATTTTGTATTGTCTGCAAATTTTGCCACCTCGGAGTTCACCCCCTTTTCCAGATCACTTGTCAGTATGTTGGACAGCACTGGTCCCAGTACAGATCCTCGGGGGACCCTGGTGTCACTTCTCCATTGTGAAAAGATGCACCCCTGCCTATTGGTTTTCATTCCCTAATAGGGTCATTTCAGCTGAAGGAAAAAACGAGTCACAAGATTCCCATCTGCATCAAACTAAACAAGTCTTCTGCTTGAGCGTGTTTGTCTAAGTCTCCTGTAGGTTATCAGGTTGGAAATGCAACTCAGCCTTTGAATCTAAGAAAGGTGCAGACTTCTTTGATGCATAACTAGAATTCACCCAACGAGTGTTTTGTTCTAGGCAAGTCTGTTCCTTTCTCCTTATTTCTTGGGTTTGCTCTTCTGTCCTAGCAAGGTGACCACCACCTTCTTGGTGGTGAGCTATTCCATCCACTAGGGGGCAGTGGAGAAGGCGCACAACTGGTGTCAAATGTCTGGGCTGCATAAAGCTTTTATTTAGCCCATGTGCCAGATTTCACAGCCCCCGTGGCTAAAGAGAAGCTACTAAACCAGTGTAGCCTGTTTGTATTGTTTTCCTGCTTGCAGACAACCTGAAATAGCTCTAAGACGGGCTCTGGCTTTATTCCTCACAAGGAGGTATTCTGCCTTTATGCTTCAGTGTGATACCGGACATCGCAGATCTTCATATAATTCCCCCATGTTAGTTGTGCAGCTAGTTACAGTAACGTGTGTACACAGAGGGAATAACTGCATGTGAAAATGGCCGTATAAACAGTTGCTGGTGTCACTTTCCTATTTTTTACCTATAAAGTATAACCACGCTCTTGGTCTTTGTACAAACCTCTGTTAGCACTGGGAGCACCCCATAGCAGGGAGCTCTTGCGTCCTTAATGTTTGCTAAACCCTGAAGGTCACGATTGCAAATGTAACTCGGCCATCCACAAAATGAGAAGTAATACTGTTAACCAGGAGGGAGCAGACAGTCACGAGCATGGCTGAGCTGTTCTAACAGAGGATGCACAGAGAGCTTGTAGAGGGAACTGCCGGCAGTGAGAAGAGTGTCCTCAAATCCAGTCTGAAATAGTGGCAGAGAAGAGTTGAGTAACCACTTGCATACAATCAAGAAATTAGGGCTTGTCTACATGGGGAAATAACCTAGAAAAGCTATTGCCCTTTAAATTCACACCCCAGCTTGTTTTTCAGTAGCTTCCCTGTGTAGACAAGCCCTTGGTTACATTTATTTTCCCTTTCAAATGTTGACTAGTTTCAAAAGCAGAGAACTACTAATTCCCTCTACACCGATTTTTCTTGGGAATAGGTGCAAATGTATACACTGGGCTTAAACTACCTATATTTTTAAACCAAAAACATTTGTGTATTTGCTTAAAACATTGCTTTTCAATGCAGTATTAAATGGTGATTATACAACTTATTTCTCTAGAGACTTTAGGTGCACAAGAACCAAATCCTGTCGTGTGGAAGGAAAAAGGATTCTGACTTTAGAGCATGTGCAAAAGAAGTGGCTTTGTCTCATGTAACCCCCAGCCAGTGTCCTCTGTGCCCAGCCCACCACTGTCTATGTGAGAGAATAAGAGGTGCAGCTGGTTTTGGTGTGTCTAAACTCTAGTACTACAGCATGTTCGGCCGTGTTTCCCTTAGCTGCAGCTGTCTGAGACGTGGCAGGCAATGGAGGATCAAATTTACCGGTGAGGTAACTGGGTACCTTTCCTGTGAAGTTAGTGAGACTTGTGCCTGCCTACGGCAGACCTGAACTTGGCCTGGAGGTTTGCCATACAGTTTACACAAGCACTCTTCACCATATCGCATGAATCAACTTTCTTCCCTCCCCCCCACCACCACCAAAGAAATGCCAGAGGTGGGCTTAAGATAATAAAAGGCATCCTGGAAAAATGTCATCGCCAGTACCCCATCTCTTTTCTATGCAAGTGCAAATGGGTCAGAACATTCAGGGGATATTCCCTGTTGTACAGATGGGGAAACTGAGGCAAATATTTGTTTATGATCACACAGCAATTCAGTAGTGAAGTAGGAAATAGAAACCAGGTCTCTTGCTGAGTGGGATTATGCCTAATCCATCTGGCCACACTACCCCCCTAGCAATTCACTTCATCCTCCGCTTATTTCCCCGTCTGAAAAATGCTGGAGAGAGCTCCCCTCAGAGACAGCCCATTTGATTGTTGGCCATACTTCCAGAATGCAGAGACTGCTGGGAAGAAGTGGCTCTGGAAAAGGTTTGACAGTTGCGGATAGTCCACTGAGCCTGAGCGCCCAGTGTGATGCTGTGGCCAAAAGAGCTAATGTGATCCTGAGATGTATAAACGGGAATCTTGAATAGGAGCAGAGAGGTCAGTTATTTTCTCTCTGTATCTGGCCCTGGTGCGATCGCTGCTGGAATGCTGTGTCCAGTTCAGGTGCCCACAATTCAAGAATGATGCTGATAAATTGGAGCGGGTTCAGAGAAGAGCCATGAGAATGTTTAAAGGGTTAGAAAACCTGCCTTGTAGCGATAGACTCAAAGAGCTCAATCTATTTAGCTTAACAGAGAAAGTTAAGCAGTGACTTGATTACAACCTATCTCCATGGGGAACAAATATGAATGGGCTTTTCAGTCTAGCAGAGAAAGGTCTATCATGGTCCAACGGCTGGAAGTTGAAGCCAGACACTTTCAGACTGGAGATAAGGTGAGAGTAATAAACCATTGGAACAATTTACCAAGGCTTTACCCAAGCCTGTCACCCTTGAGCTTTGGCTTCAGCCCTGGGTCCCAGCAAGGCTAATGCCAGACC